GCTGAGGGAGCTGGGGTTGTTTAGCCTGGAGAAAAGGAGGCTGAGGGGAGACCTCATCGCTCTCTACAACTACCTGAAAGGAGGCTGTAGCGAGGTGGGTGTTGGTCTCTTCTCCCAAGTAACTGGCGAAAGGACGAGAGGAAATGGCCTCAAGTTGCGCCAGGGGAAAAATGTCTTTACTGAAAGAGTGGTTTAAGATTGGAACAGGCTGCCCAGGGAAGTGGTTGAGTCACCATCCCTGGAAGTATTTAAAAGACGTGTAGATGAGGCGCTTAGGGACATGGTTTAGTGGGCATGGTGCTGTTGGGTTGACGGTTGGACTCGATGATCTTGGAGGTCTCTTCCAACCTTAATGATTCTATGATTCTATGAATATGTGATTGCTGCAGCCTTACAATGAAAGAAAAAAGGAATAAAAGCTGAATTGCAGAAATAGGAAGTTCTCACTGAAAACCCTGGTGAGAATGTCCAAGGATGTAAACTCCATGACTGAATGTTCTCCTTCTTAATGAGGGTGCATTGCTACTACTGTCATCAATAAGAAAAAAATTCAATTATTTTTCACCAGATGCTTCTTCATGGGTGGATTTTCATGGTAATAGTAAGAAACTTCCAACTTTGCTAGTGAAATTTCAGACTAAATTATTGCAGTCTTAGAAAGGAGCATCTAAATGCTTAATACTAATCTGTGACTAAAGGTTCTCAGTAAGTTTTTGAATAAATGAGAACACCTTTTAAATGGTACAACACAGGAAGATCACAGATGAAATTTAACTTTCTTTGCCAGTGAGGGAGAAATACAGTTAATCTTTGCCATTTTATACTGTCCTTTAAGGTAACACATTATTGGATGATGTTAGGCAATGAATCCTATTTCTTCTGGGGACATGAGAAAAAAAATTCCGTTTTCCAGGGTAGTGGTGTTCTGAATTTACTTCGTAGCTGAAGAGTGCTCCACTTAGTTTCTTTTTTCCTCTTTTTAGTGGCAAACTGAAAATACTACATGAAAGTCACTGTGAGAGTTCTCTTTAAAATATAAAAAACCAGGAAGTTATTGCTAGTTATTACTAAAATTAATTCCTCAGGGGGACTTTCATGTTAGGACAAAATAGCAAAATAAAGACTATTTATACAGAAAGAAACATACTTTGCCAATAACTCAGAGTTTCCCATGCAATTGTTTAAGGCAAGTATTGGACAAAGAACCTTTTCTTGGTGACCCTGACTGAACTAGGTAGTATGTGACCAGGTGCCTAAAAACTGCATCACAGTGTGTGCAGGGCAAACGGCAGCGAGGCTGAGCGGACAGCTTGCTTTCTGGTACACGTAACATTTGAGCGTGTCGCTTCAAACCTTAAGCGTTGGCTTGGATTTTCTTCAGAATGGCCTTCATACGTTAGGAGTAGTCTTCCAGTCTGAGCAATTGCTTTAGCTTTATATAAGAATCACTGTCTGAGGCTGCCTGAGGTTATTTAACCTGAGACTTTTTTTTCCAGGTAATACAGCTTAGGGCACTAATTTAATGTAGTGCAGCTTGTACCGGGATGTGTATATAAACACCTTTGCGCTGGCTTTTGACACAGCTATTTCGGGTAGCTGCAGCGGCCTGGAAATCAGCATTGGCTGCAAAACCTCCCTGAGCCATGGGCACCAGCTGATCCCCGCGCCCTGCGGTCTGTGGCCGTGCAGAGCCGTGGCCCTTCACAGCGACTGCACTGCCCGCTTCTGGAGGTGGGGCTGCGCCCGTTGCTTCCTTGCGGGTGCTGTAGTCACCTTTAAACCATCCTTCGGTGGATACCGCTCCTCAGAGGCTCCGCAGGCGGTGCACTGGGTGCCTGCTGCCCACAGAGGTGGGCGCCGCAGCCCCTGGCGTGCCTTCGCCCACCTCCGCCCAGGCAGCCGTCAGCTTAGGCCTGGCTGAGAGCTCCGCTTTCCCTGGGCCACTGCAGCCTGCTGCGCCCTGCCAGATTTACCGCTGCGCCCTATCTTCTGCGAAAGCAACCCATCAAAGCTGTTTTCTGACTGAAAAACAAGAAAGCTTTTTCTCTACTGATCAGAGTGGCTTTCACTTTGAGGCCTTTTACAGTGATTACGCTTCCCTTGTTTTTGCTCCTTCTCAGCCTGAGATAGGCACCACAGTGCCTCTTACTAATGCACAAGTTATTAGTGATTTTAAGCACCTTTATGTTGTATGCAAGTCATTGCTCTAACTCCATTTTAGCACTTGCTAATTTGGCAATAATGGTAGTCTCCAGAATGGCAGTTAGTGAACAAAAGAAGGTTGCACTGTGTGACCGAGCAACCAGGCTTCCCTTAAATTTGTTTGTCTCCACACACCCACCCCCCACCTCATTTTCCGCCACCTATCAGTCTGCAGGTAATGGAAGTGTAAATCGCTTTATGTAGACACTACTGATGAGTCTCTATTTGGTGCCAATTCTTAGCTTTTTTCCTTTCAAGAATTCACTGATTGCACTGTTTTAGTTCAGAAATACCTGTGCTCTAGGGTTGCTAAAATCACAGCATATAGTACTAACATATCTGTCTTTTCTGTGATCCCTGAATCACATGACAGTATATGGACATGTATGTGAAGGTCTTCTGTTCTTACGTTCTCCTGTTGCTTGCGTTAGTATCACTTAAAAGTTGAAAATGACAGCATTTCTGTTCTCAAAGACAGAAGGCATATTGCAAGGCAAAGTCTCTTCCTCAGTGTCTGTATGCCACATTTACTGTTCTGCCACATAAAAACTTAAGTAGATGCTACAAACGCTTTTAAATTAAGCTGTGAATTTCTTTATTGATTGGTATGCATGTATTAGTTGAATTTTTTCTTTACCTATTCTATTATCATTATATTAATACTAATTAACACTAATGCTGCCACAAAATACAGCCTTTCTAAGGTCAGATAGTCAAGGATTCAAAGAGAGGAAGGGTTTGGGAGACTTGGGAAGGTATTTGCTCCTTTTTATACAAAGTGCTTTCTTAGGCCTATAAACAAAGAAAGAGGCAGCAACATCATTTATGTTAAGCTGTACTTCACTGGAAATATTTGTTTCTTGAAAAACCTGCTGTGTATGTTGATATCATAGCACCAGTCTCAGCTTGAAGAAAAAGGTTGGATAAGACTGTGAGAGAGCTAATAATATCTTCTCACAGGAGACACGTGTTTGAAAATATCAACCATTCACGCAACCTGACTCATTCTAAAAACCAAAACTCTTGTTGTGTAGCAGTGTTTGTTTTTGTGAGTCTATGGATAATGTTCTCCTTGAGACTGTTAGCAGTGTCCAGTTGGACGTCGCTGTCAAAGGGGGAAGAAGCAACCCCATTCTTATCACTGGTGCAGGTTTAAAGTGACACAGAGTGAGCCAGCTATTGCCCATCACTGTTGTCAGGTCTGTAAATTAATGTGCCGTTCCCTCCTAGTCTGAATGGGGATATCTACTGAACTAGGTTTAACTTGATGTTATTTTTAGAACAAATTACGTTGATTGCATACTATTTCGAAGTCCCCAAGTAATAAAGTACACAATTAAATGTATCTGTCTGACTAGTTTCATTTCTCTGTGTGGTTTTAGGTATAAAAACTTAAGTATTTGTTTTCCAGACTCCTCTGGCAAAGATTTCGGTCCTACTCTGGGATTGAAGAAGTCCAGTTCTCTTGAGAGTCTTCAGACTGCTGTGGCTGAAGTTAGAAAGAACGAACTCCCTTTTCACAGACCCAGGCCTCACGTTGTCCGTGGTCGGGGGTGTAATGAGAGTTTCCGAGCTGCCATTGACAAGTCTTACGATGGACCTGAAGATGGAGAAGAGGGTATGTTGCTAATGGCACTTATTGAGGGAGCCACCTTCACTTAGCATTGCTGAGGGGCCAACTCAATAAAGCACATAAGCAAGCGATTTAGTCCAATTGAAGTTGATCACATTTTAAAAGCTGCTCATGTCTTCCACTGACAAAGAGCTGTCTTTGCAGTACCCCATCCAACCTTGACTGCATTTAGTGTAAAGTCTTTCGCTGATCTCGTCAGGGCGGGGGTGCGTTGGAGGGTTTAGAACTCAATCCTTAAATAATTATATTTTTCAACTTCAAGAAGCATCTGCCTTCTTCAGATTACATTAAAATTTGTCTTGCTTGTTTTACAGAGCTGTCTACAATTCCGCCTTCTCCAACCAGGAAATTTGTTTCCTGTTATAGACAAGGCAGAGTGTATTGATAGCACCCTGCTGCTCATTCTGTCACCATGGGCTTATAGACCCCAGTTGCGAAATATGTCTCCTTTAGCATGAAGCATAAAACTGTGCTTGGATCCTGAGCCCCCCAAACAGGAACAACACAGCTCTTCTCCAACCAGACAGAACAGTTTATGTATTTCTTGTTCAGCCATTAAAATAGAAAGATTCCAGGGAATGAATGAAATAGTTTTGTTACGTAGGTTGGTTATGTCAGTCGCCAGAATCTCTTGTTGAAGTAAGCTCTCAGTGTTTGCACCCCAGCATGTCAGTTCTCTTGAGTTGATGGAGGTTAACAAGCTAGATCTCAAATAGAATAGTGTTTTACCATGTCAGGATTTTTGTATCAGGAATAATAACTAGAAAACAAGTCACTAAAATAACTCTATATTTAATTTACAATAGAAATCTGCTTGAGTTCACTAGATATGTTTAGTCTGCTTTTTAAATTATTCAATTAAATGAGTAAGTGTTGTGAGTCATTTGAGCACTTTGTAGACACTCATGCTGTATTTCATGTGTTTGCATTTTGGTGGCCCCTAGCCATCCTCACTGCTGCTTTTTCATTCTGTGCAGATGGTTTCTCTGATAAGAGCTCTCATTCTGGTCAAGAAGCTCAGAACATGGAATCTGCCCCTCCAGGGAACCCTGAAATAGAAGATGCAGAAACCAAAGCAAAAAAAGACAAAAAAAATAGAGAGAAAGAGAAGAAAAAGGAAAAGGGCAAATCTAAAATCAAAGAGAAGAAAAGGAAGGAAGAAAATGAAGATCCAGAAAAGAAAAAGAAGAAAGGCTTCGGTGTCATGTTGAGGTACGGCATTTTAAAAAGCAAAACAGCCACCCATTCCCATTATAACATAAGAAACAACTGAGACTCTCATAAAGTAGTGGAAAAATTATTTCACTTGGACTCAAAATAATGTTTATGTTATTTAAAAAGAAAGCAGTTTATACATTTACACCAAACTTGTAGCTGAGGCAGAAGACATTTGGCAGACAAAATGTCTTTTTGTGCCTTTGAAATTCATTCCCATATGTCAGAAAAGATTCAAGGTTTCAGGCTAAAAACAAGCCTGTGTCAGTGGGGGAGGCTTTGCGGGGAATATTTCTGTGTAATACATGACCCACTCCCACGCTCAGACCTTCGCCTTCTCTTCCCTTGCTTATCTGCTTCCTTTGGGGAGAGCAGGATTGCTTGTGTTACTGTAAACAGTCTAGTAACATTTGCAGTTGCTGAAAACCACTAGCTATGATAAAATCTTTGCTTCACAGCTTCAGCCATTGCCTGCAGTGGTCAAAAGCTCACCGTCCTCCCTGCCCAGCATGCAAGCGTTTTGATTTCTTCTGTGGTTATTGGTTGGTTTTGCATCTCTGGAATCATCAGAGATTAGACAAAGTTCTTCAGGCTATTTCCTTGCTATTGGTGGAGCTTTTGGTGCTGTAGGCACTCTGGGTGCTTTCACCCCTGCCTCTGGTACCTGTTTACTCTACTGAGGATTAAAGTGTTTCCATTTAAGTAGATGGTTGCAATTAATATAGAGTATGTGAATGAAATTTAATGATCACCTGGAGGAGGTGATCATGTGGTTACTTGTGGCACTGAACACTTAATGTTAGCTTTAGGAGACTATTGGTGTTTCTTAGCATGCTGTATTGCAGACAAGCCAGATACATACAAAAGCCACAATCGTTGCTTAGGCAAAGATGCATTTAACTAGTAATCTAAGAAATTCAGCTGCAAGATCATTCACTTACAATGATATTCATTAGGACAGTGATATATGAACTCACATTGCAGCTTTCTGTTGGTAAGTCCTCTGGAGTCAAATGGCTTGTGTTATATTGACGTGGAAGGTTTTAGCTGACTTTCTTCCATGTACCATCAATAGGAATCCTCAAAATTGTCCTATCAACTTTTGAACACTGTAGAGATACTATCAAAAATATACAGGCATGCTTATGTGCCAAATTTGCATGATTTCAGCAGTTGTTAGTGTTCGTAAGATGAAGGTGCATTGGGTATACCAGTCTGCATTCAAATGCAGCTCTTTAGGAACGCTGAGGGGGCACGTACTCGTACCTGTGCATCGCATGTGCATTTGTGTTCATACTGTTTAAAGAAATAGGGCTTAACATGGAACAGTAGTCAAAACACTGAATAATTAGGAGGGTGACCTCAAAAACTCTCTTCTGTATCTTAAGCTTTATGTCTGTTTTCATTCTTCTTTTTAACTCTTTGGCGTGAATAGGGCTCTTGGAAGAGGAGGGGAGTGACACAGAGGTCTGACAAAATCATAAGTGTTCTGTTTCATGTATCACTGGCAGATTTGAAGTTTGAAGTGCAAAGTCTTACTTACGGGGATGTGATGCCTGAGCCAGAAAGAACATGGGATGACATCAGAATCCAAAACAAGCGACTGTAGTTGACAAAAAAATCTGATAATGATCAATATGCAAAGCTGGGAACAATAGATTATCATTCGTAGTGATTCCCTTTTTCAGAATATATTTCACATTTTGGTTGTACATAAGCTTTATACATCTGTTCTTTTCATAAGCTTGCTTTTTATTTAGATTGATAGTCTTCCCAGCAGACAATAATTGTTAATAATATTTATTTATCTGTATGGCAGCACAGAATGGGAATTTCTATCCCACACCATTGAAAATCTCTACAAAGCCACAAAGATGGAAGCAGCAGGTTGTAATGAACAGAGGAGTTGTTTGTAAGAGCTAACAGTTCAGCTGGGAGATTTTTAGAGGTTCTGTGTCCTCTTCAGTGTTTCTTCCTAGAATTTATAAAATAGTTCTTGAAAAGAAATTACTTCCTGAGAAGGTGTGAGTCCTAGGGAATCCCAGCCATGATAAAAGTGAAAGAAGGGTGATGACCTGTAGAGATTGAACAAGAGCAAACAGTGTGAGTTTACAAAAGAATTGGGGACCATATGTCCTGATCAAGTGAGCAAAACCAGGCTGGTATTTATTCAGGGAGAAACTGCTGTGGATGACATGAAAAACAAAAACAATCTGAATGTTTTTAAAAGAAATAATAGGAAACTAGTGGGGGAACTTAGAAGGGGTCAAATACTGACTAAATACTGGATTCAAGAGGTATTTTCAAACTGGAGTTTTGCACTGATGTGAAGAGTGAGGAGTGGGTCTCAGGAGGGCTAGGGCGGAAGACACTGCAGTAGGAGGGTTTGATCAAGTATTTTAGCAGCATGGATGGAAAGAAACAGCCAGATTTTTATGACATTGTGGAGATGAAACTGGCGTGTTTTATTGGTAGAACATCTGTGGAAGGAAAGAGAGAAGCTGAAGACGACAAAGTTGTGAGCTTCTGCAGCAGGTCAGGTGACTACTAATTCTTGGTAGCTTAAGAGAGAGTATTTAGAAACAGAGGTGAGCTCAGTTTTTTACATGCTGAGTTTAAATTGGAAAGGGAACCTGCTATCAGAGGTATTAGAAATGTAAACACTATAAGGGACCAGAAAGCTGGATGGAGAAGGAAATCTGCAGTGTGCCCTTTGTAGGTATGGTGGTAGTTGTACTGTGATCCCCCATGTGAGAGACCACCAAAATGAGGAATGAGGAACAGAGAGCCTCTGCTAGACTGACAGGAGAGAAAGACACAAGAGAAAAAAAGTTAAGAAAGCAACTGGCAGGAGTGGGAAGAGGATATATCTGCCTGGGACCGGGCGATGCCATGAATCTTTTAAACTAGTGCAGTGACTGCAGCCATGTCACTGATTGATCCTACCGAGAGCTGGAACCCCACACTGATACGTTCATACTGTTTGTAATTTGTGGGCTGCTTTGTTCAGAGCTATTTCAGCTGTGCCTGCATAGTTCTGCTGTGCTGTGTAGATGCATCCAAACAGGAAAACAGACTTGCTGAACCCATGTCAAGATTGGGTTGAGATAAGTAGGAGATGATCATCTGTGGTGAAAGCTCCAGGACCAGAAGAACAATGAAAATATTTCTGAGATCTTGCCAGAAAGCTCCGTGCTAATAAAGACACATGCACTTTCTGCCAAATGACTAGGGGTCAGGTGTAAAGGACAAAGGAAAGTAGAATTTGAGGCTGAAGCAGCTGCTGGAAGTGCCACACTTGTCTATGGTGGGGCTTTTGTGCTATACTTGCTGGGTCATATATACAGCTATAACAAGTTTTATCTTGATTGTACGTCCATGTGAATTGGCTTGTTTCTGCCTTATAATCAATAACAAAGCATTTCAAGATATTAAAACCAAACCCAAGTATTTATCTGTAGTACAAGAAGCGTTGAGCTTTAGTATTTTGCATCTGACATTTTTGAACATATTGGAATTGCTACTGCATTGGTTTTTTACTTTTTTTTTTTTAATTTAACAACAGAAAATAGCAAAGCTGTTAGCAGTTGCTAACAGATTTCACTTAGTGCCTCATCTGTTGCTCAGCTGCTATTTACTTGTAGTTCCTGGTCTTTTTTTACACATACAAAAAAAAGCACGATTGCTTTCCTGCTAAGCTTTTCCTGGATTGAAGCTTTATTTAGGTGACTGTGATTCAGGGAGACCATCAAGAAATCATGCTTTTATTTTTGTAATCATTGTTTTTTAAAAAGTCCTGTTGTTTTACCCAGTATTAACTGGAACTCTTGGCTGCAGCATTTTAATGACTGTGGCACTTGGAGCAAAGTAGGTTAATATACTGGAGATTTGAAATGCAGATGACACTGGTTATTACTGATTAGTGAAGTCTGTATAATCCGAAGTACTGTTTTACTGTGGTGCATACTGCACAGTGTTTGTGTTTTCTTGTTTGGTTGGTTCTGATGCATATATTGCCTGCCTGAGTACTGGATGTGCATAGGCACTGTCCAAAGAACAACAGAAGTTGACTCTGTTAACTGTTTGTATGTAGCATCAGCTAAGCAAGCATTATATTTTCCTTCTTGATGTTTTCTGGCACATTGCACCATCATAGCTCACTAAATAACCCACTGCTAGACAACAGACGGCAAAGCAAATTGATGTTGTATATCAGGAAAACAAATACATTAAATACTTTCATTATTGGAGCTGTGACTAAATGTATACTGCAGTCTCAGGAAAAAGCCAGTGTCTAGCATCTATGCTGAAACTCTTTCGGAACAGAAATAATACTCAGTTCTATGCAGATACGTAACAGCGGCAAGATTACGCAATACCGCATTCAATTCTCAGTTCATCCCTTTTCTTACATGGAGCTGACTGATACTTTCAGGACATGGTGAGTCTTGAGGAGACTGCTGGACCTCAAATGAGTTTCCCTGTACTTCTTTTTGAAGGTGTTTTGTATTTTCCTGAGCAACACTATAGTGAAACAGCATATTTGTGCCTTTGAATAAAGGTAGTGTGTAGTGTCATTGGTTTAGAACTGTCAAAAGCCTTGTGAGGTGGCTCTGTAGGCTGTTTGTAAGGGTTAATTAACCCCTTGGTACAGGGCGTTAGAAATCCCTGATGCTCAGCACTAATGCAAAACGCATTATCACTTAGCACCAGGAATGCAAAGCTGATCTCATCAAGAGGTTAACAATAAAAAAAAATTATTCCTCAGTTTGTTAGGTGATGGACTCTAGATTTTAAATTTGTGATCTGTAGTTATTTAATTGCCATGCTTTGAAATACTATCAAAATACTATTTTCTAACAAAGGTAGGCTTTGTGTTGGTCTCTAAATTAAGTTGGAGAAAGACTGAACCTTTAAACCACCAGGGAAATGTGACCTCTGCTATGTGGTGCTGCTCTGTATCCTAATTCCATAGCAGTTGTTACAGTCCTGGCGTA